GGCCGCGGGAGGACGCGCGGGAGGGGCGCGGCGCCGGGAGCGCCGGCCCGGCTGAGCGGTTGCACTCGGGGCGCAGTTTCCCCGCCTCACGTTCGAGTTAGGCTCATCTCCTCGCTCCTTGGTTGCAAATTCGAAGAATGCATTTGGCCGAGTTCGGGGAAGAGTGCCGTGGGGGTGGGGAATCCCATCTGTGCGTGACTTAGGTGGGGGGCTAACCGAGAGGTGCTGGTGGGTATTTTTACGGAGCGATCAGCCTTTTTTTTTTTTTCATAGCGGGATCCTGGCAGGAAGTGTTTCGTAGGGCTGTGCGGCAGAGCTAACTGTTGCTTGTTAGGCTTTGTAATTAGTTCCCCCAGTCATTCGGCAGATAACCTGTTGGTCTGCACTTGATTTGCTTGCATTTCTCAGCCAGAAGCATCTGGGGCAAAATCGACAGACACAGACAGCCGTTTTTGCGTTAGGTAGCTGTGGGTAAACACCTACGTTTCTATCTGCGGGAGGGGGACGAATGTATCTCTTTTGTAGTTGACTCCAACACTGCCTGGATTCTCCAGCAAAGCTCTGCCCTTGAAAGGGATGTGTTGCCAGTGTTTGTTCTTATATTCTCACTGCCAGATTATGAATTCTTGCTGCCAGGAGCTTTCTGCACTGTATGTCTTTGCATCGTCTCTTTCTCTTTCATTTTTAACTGAGGATAAAAGGGAAAACACTACTAATGGTTACACATGGATAATCTTACAGAATATAGGGTGGAATCCTGCAGAAATGTGAAAGTCGAAAGTATATTAAAATTTGTCAGAAATTTCAAGAAAAGAATTGCATAAACTTACTGCCCTGGCTCCCTCGACGCAATTTCCTTGTCCACACGTGGAGGTTCGGTGTTGCTGATTTATTTTATAGATTTCAAGAGAGGATACAAATCAAAGCACCCAGCATGAGCTGCCAGATGGTTTACTTTAAATGCTTTATTTTTTTATCCTGAGGTCAACAGCACTTTTTATTCGAGATCTTTTTGGATGTTAGATGTTGGCAGAAGTCTCTTTCACTACTTTCTTTTTGGCTTACCATAATTATTGCTTGTTCTGCTTTTGGGGGTAAGTACTTTACTTTCACTTAGAGTAACCAAGAAAAACAGAGGGCAGTGTGAGTAGATCGGCTCACCTCTTCCTTTCCTGGTCACATAGTTCTCCTTGCTTGAAAATCTTGTAAGTTTTCTGGATCCCTTTCTGGATCCCTTTCCAACTCTTCTGTAACCAGTAGGATAAGCCTCCCGTTAGTTACCTGCCAGTCTTTCCTTGGATAGATTGTGCTTCAGGTACTGTTGATGTGAAAACCTAGTCACTAACTGGTTGCTTTGCTTGCACACAATCCTTGTAACATTCCTGTGGGAAGTTTTGTCTCCCTTCCCTTTGCTTCTTCTTTTCTTTCCCTTTCCCTTTCCTTTTTTCTCTTTTTAATGGAGAACTGAGGCCTAGTGAGATGTCAGGTGTCTTCCAGATTCACACAGTTCTGTTCCTGCTGCGCATCTGCTCCCTCTCCTGTCCTAGTACTGCTAGGACTCCAGTTGACTGTGTGCCATTCATGTAACTGTGTAGTCCTTAACAGTTTAACTTGCACTTACAGCTCCATCTGAAACCGTCCAAGACTGACAGTTTGTCAACCTTCTACAGTGCCCACAGCCTGTTCCCTTTTTTTAAGCCTGCACCTGCTACATTCTTTTTATTAATTCATTTACTGATCTGTTTGCAGTATTTAATGTATGCATGGTGGGAGGGCATTGGATACAAAACTGAATGACATGGTTCCTGATTCCTTCCTGATTTAGTTTACACTTTAAACCTTTTGTGCACACTCACTCTGCATCTTAGAGCGAAAGGGAGTCTGAAGCAGATTTTTTGGCCAGTGCTAAGTACCATGTATGTGGGGAAGCTTTGTGGCAGAGCTGTCCGTGGTTCATCAGTGCCTGTCGCTGCTGAATTGATCAGGATGTTTTTCGTGCAAGAAATAGAAAACCCATTTTAGACAGATGTAACCTCCTTGTGCCCTGAGAAGTCCTTGAGGGCAAAACTTTTTGCTGAAGTCCTCTTTTTTTTGAGACAGCGTCTCCCTATGCAGTTCAAGCTGGCCTTGGGCTCACTTTGTAGCCCAGGCTGGTCTTGAACTTGCAGTGATCCTCCTGCCTCAGCCTTCCCAGTGCTGGGATTACAGGTGTGTACCACCACACCCGGCTCCACTAAAGTCCTCTTAGATAATGGTTTCGTTCTTAGACTGATTTTGCAGACTGCCAGCCGCTGTCACTACAGTAAGAGGACATTTTCAGAAAGCGTCCTTGGCCTCCGGTGATTGACTTAGGCCTTGTTTACTTGAAGCAGTGCCTGGAAGTTTACTTGTAGCATTACCTGGAACAATAGAAATCTGATAACGGACCTGTCCCAGAAATGAAATTAAGTCTCACCTCACTTAGCTGCCCGCCTCCGGCAGGGAGGGCCTGTGTGGACAGCAGAAAGTCAGCCAGAGTGTCTCCTCAGGACCCCTAGAGCGTGGCACTGCCCAGGTGATTGGATTAAACTGAACTGAATCAATTTGACATTTAGCCTTCCGTTTTACAGAGCTTGGCAGGCAGTGATCGGATTTGCATTATAGAGGGAATTTGGACAGCCAGGAAGCGTGAGACCCTTGGGCAGGAAGCAAGCAGCCGGCTGGTGGAGGGGGCGGAAGCGGAAGGTTAGATGGGTGCAGTGGTGACTCAGTGGTGGTGGCTGTTGTGTTGAGTGATTGCCCGCGTGTGTCAGAGCCCGTGTGAAGCGTGTCGTAGGGTTACCGCAGTTGCTGTTAATTGGCAGTAGAGCTTTCCCACTTCCCTAGGTGAGGAAACGGAGGCCGGAGGAGTCGGTGCTGAGCCCGGCGCACACGGCATTCCAGCCCAGGCCTCTGGACTCCCTTAGCCTGCCCCGCCGAGGTGTGTGGTAGCAGACCGTCATTGTGCTTGTGAGCTGGGAGTGCTGTCTGAATGTGTAGGATGGCTCGGTGAGGACAGAAGCTAGGAATGTGGAGAGGATTGAGAGGCTGCCAGAGGGGGTCAGGGAGGTGACAGCTGGTCCTGGAGCCCCTGCCGTGCACGGAGGCTGGAGAGCACTAACTGCAGGAGACTGTTCAGAGAACAAGGTGAGCGGCTGGACTCCAGAGCCGGCACGAGGAAGGGCAGCCTAAGACAGGGTGGCGGACGAGACCGCCGGAGTCCGGATCCCTCCTCTTCAGCAGCGTGGTCTCGGGCCGTTCACCGCAGTAGGTGTTGGCTGCTGTGTGTCGCCCATTCTTAGCTGGTTTTCACAACTTAACACGCAGAAGTGATGCGCTTTTAGTTAGTGGGTCTGCAGCTCACTGTAGGCGCTTTTCCTCATCTCAGTACTCCTGAGATTAGGGTGCTCCCCCTGCTGCAGGGAGGAGCCATCGCTGAGCAGAGGAGAGTCCTCGTCCTGCTACAGCTCACACAGCCAACGGCTGGCAGAGCCAGAAGCAAGAAGCAAGGGGTCCACGGTGTCGGACCCCTTTCGCCAGCTCGGCTACCGCACAGGGCGTCACTGTGGGAATGCACACAGCCTGTGCTCCAGGGTAGGTGCAGCGCACTGGTCTGCCTGCTGCGGAGGCTGACGTGGTGTGAGAAGGCTGCCTTTGAGAGGCCCGGTGGCTGAAGGAGGGAGCCCTGTTCTTGTACCGAATCTCGCTGACGTGGCATTGTGTCCTGACCTGCCCCCAACCACGAGAAAGTCAACCTGGACATTGGTCTCTCTCTTGTTTTTGTTTTTGTTTTTGTTTTTGTTTTTTAAGTTTTCTCTCTCTTTTTTATGGTATGTGGGGGTTGTACGTAGGTCCTTTTCATGGAACTATACTCCACACCCCACCTTTCAGTTTTTTTTGGAGTTAGATTTTATTGGTACGTTTTAGGTGTATATAACAATCACATCTATTCTAGAGAATTTGTACCTGTGTGTGGTGTAACTTGTTTTTCCCCCATTCCCCTACCTTCCCTTCAGCGCCTCCTCCCCTCCCTTTTCTTTTTGTTTTTTTCAGATGGTCTTGCTATGCAGTTCAGGCTGACCTTGAGCTTACTTTGTAGCCCAGGCTGGTCTTGAACTCACAACAGTCCTGCCTCAGCCTCCCCAGTGCTGCAATTACAGACAGGTGTGCGCCACCACGCCCAGCTCCCCTCCCTTTTTTTTATTGAAAGAGTAAATTTCTTATTTTCTTTTTTGCCAAGTAACAACTCCTCTCCCCTTTTTAGGGCCAGAGACTGAAAGTTGAGATCCATAGGTCCTAGGAAGGTCGATGTCTGAATCAGTGATGGGGATTGAAGGAATAGAAGGAAGCTGCTGCTGGTTTTGTCTTTTAAGAAGTTAAAATATAACCGCCAGAGGGTTCTGACCTAGCAAAGCAGAGTGTTCAGGAAACTAGCCTGACTTTACTTGGAGTTTGTGTAACAGGACCTCTCACCCGGAACCCGTAAACGTTACTGTCACCCAACCTTATAGTCCTCCGTGCTCCCACGGGCATGATCCCTGAACAGAAACATTTTCAGTTCACTCTTAGGCCTTTGCTTCCAGAATCGTGTGGTCCCTGGGGTTTTGGTGCTCATACTCGACCAGCTTTTAGAAAGGCTACGCTCCTCCCGCTCTTCGCGCCTGCCTTCCTGTCTGAAGCGCAGGTGCAG